TAAATGGGAATAGAAGCTTTGTATAGCTCCTCCTCCAATTGTATTTTCAAATTTTCGCTATCCATTATCCGTATTGTTGTTGTTGTTGTTATTGTTGAGGGGTTTTCTAAAATACAAAAGGTGTGGTTAAAAGACGCGAAGGTTGTGGAATATCGACATCGTCGTATTAGTCGTTAGTATGGTTGTATTAGGTAGGATTACTAAAATTACAATATCCCCAAGGCCGTGTATCGATACGATTAGCGCATATGACGCGTTTGTCATCGTGAGGACTTAATACGACCTTATTTTGTTTCAATGTGTATACGGCATGCTTCTTCGATCGTATTAGATTCTGCTCCTTTTTTATAGTTACAATATTAAACAAGGACCTTTTATAATCATCGATCGTAACGTCCCTCATACTAGATGATGTGGATCCTTTCGATTTCTTTATCAATTTTCCATCGACCTCATATGAATACATCTTTGCACGCAACCCTACAAATTCGGTCATTATACGACCATGATTTTCATCCTTCATTAACCCCGGAATTTTTTTATTTACCAAAGGAATTCCAAACTCGTTTTCGGGATCATAATCTGATGTATCAAATCTATGAATATCTTCCTTTATAATTTCATATATGTTGGGAACGTTAAAAGCGTATATTAAACTATCGGTATCGGTGTACAACAGCTTTGCGGACGATTTTTGAAACTTTTTCAAAACGTAGTTATAATGAAAGTCGTAAAGAAACGTTTTTGAAATGTCTAAAACTGCAAATCCTGCGTATATAGGTTTATTGAAAAAGACTTCTAATCTATTCATTTCTATGATCACCATGTCCTTATCGAATATCGTACAACTATGGAAGTTTGGTTTGGATATATATGCCCTAGCGCCGTAACGTCCGCCCCATTTAGTCAATAAATGCACCTCCTTGTATTTCCGCACGTTCTCCATAAGCTTACCAAAAGGACTATTAATCATTAATTTATAGAAATTTTTATCGAACTCATTTTTCGCCCGCTGTCGCATACCGATATTTAATTCGATGTATTTTTTCAACCACGGAGACTGCTTGAACTGCAATACTCGATTTATTTTTACTAATTTTAGACCGTGCTGCACGTATATCTTTAAATTTCTATAATGAACGACATATTCGCGCTTTGGATATAAGGTTAACATCAGTTTTTTAAATTTTGAATTAAGGGGTATCATATGCTCCGGCGCCATGGGAAAATCACTATCAGATTCGTGCAACTCGGAGGGATAGTCCAAATCACAGTCTACTATGTATCCTACGTCAGCATCGTCCGGATGATTAAGTATGTCCAAATTTTCAATGTCCTCTACAAAGGAGAATTCGCCGAAGGGCAAGAAATTACACATTGTGGCACCATAAAGATTATTAATGTCAAGGTACAATAGGTACGTCGTGTCAAGGTCGCTGTTATAGTCTTTCATGAACGGGTTGTTAGCTTTGGCGTATCTAGTAGAACACTGCGTTATACCGCCTCTAATCCCTTTCTCGATAAACATGAGTTGATCAATATCAGTTAGAAGCTCCAATTTCACGCCCGTAACTTTTAACATGGCGTCAAAAGCTAGACCCGGAGCGGTATAGTAATGCAAAGGATCAAGCCGATACGTCTCTATGCACGTATTGCGAAAGTTTTCGAAAATATCAGCCAAAAGAAGAACATCCGTTTTTAAATAAAGGTCGGAATAATCTCCTAATGTTTTAATGTTGAATGTATTCCATACGTTAAGCGCGTGCTCGTAATCGGCTTCGCTTACCGCTTCGTTTTTCAAATTGCTAAAAAATGCATCTCTAGGCGGTAACTCTAGCTCGTTTAACCTCTCCCATGAGTCGACATAATCGTACGGAAATATGCCCTTACGCGTTAACAAACCAAATTCATTCGCGTTGTCGCTATGCAATCTTATAAGGGTTTTTTTGTCATTCTCCAAATATGAGGACAATTTATCTATACTGCTACTCATAAATCTAAAGGAATCGATAAAGCGAAACTTAATACAAGTATCCTGTACGTACTTTGTGAACGAGATATATTTCTCCTTGTTTACGGGTAAAAGTTTGATTTCGCCGGGAATGACCCCGGTCGCAAGCTCTCTAATAATAAAATGAGCGTCGTAGCCGCTCAGATTATGAAAAACTACAGGTATTACCTGACTATCTTTATAGTTTAGGTTACATTTACTATGAGCAACGCCGCGAAAGAGCCCCCCACCGCTATGACTATGGACTTTAACTTTTACGTCACCCTCCAAAAAAGGTTATTCGCAAATGTGGCAGTGCGTTGCACTCTCGATCCTTTTCAGTTGAGCCGAACTTAAACGCTCCATGGGAACTACAGTATTCATTATGGCGTTCGCCCATTTAGCGATATCATGTAACTGTTTAATAAACCATCGCAAATTTTGAAAGTGACTCATCGTACGAGCACTTTAAATAGAACCCTATACTAAACGGAATATGTGACTGGTAAAGCGCGGTGGCTACACCTTGAAGAGGTGTCGAGTTATCGCATTTTTCCAAGATAGTTTCAAGGTCAGCATAAATAGCAAATGGAACCTTCTCCATATGCGAATAGCGAGTAAACTCTACATATTTTTCGGTATCGTTATTGCTGTTAGGCATTCGAATGGAACACTTATTCACTTGATGACACCTTTTTGAATGCTTGTCTAATAGATCGCTCGACGAAAAATGATTTAAACATGTGTAACAGAAAAATTTTTTATGACCTCGATTCGATAATTGCGAGGAGAACAGCGCCGACATATTTTTAATCCAAGCGTAATGATAATAATCGTTGCCATTGTTGTTGTTGTTGTTGGGAGGAGATTGATTGTTTGATGACAATACCAATAAATTTACGGTTTTTCTACCATCCGTCTTACCGCTTAACATAAATGGAAGTACTTTTTTCTTAACTACGCAATATAAGTTAATGGAGAGGTGATTTAATTGCTCAAATTTTTTTATATCGGTTATTTTAATAGGAAATTGAATAGATTCGCGTTTTAGTATGTCATCAAAATGAGGATAACTACTTACTCTATCAACATGTTCGGTGACTGGATTTAAAGCAGCCACTATGGACCATAGAAAACAAAATTTATCATTGTTTCGTACATTCACAACGGCTTTCTTAGCTAGTATAAACGAGGGCATCTTTATATATGTTGAAAAACCACCTTTGATGGGAGCGTAATTGTTAATATTGATTTTGACAAATAGCACTTCACTTAACGCCCAACCGGACTGTTTTTCGGAAAAATTTTCCAACTTGGCTTGCAGTTTATCAAAAACGTTCTCCTTGTACCACTTTTTAAGATTGGTGCCGATATCAATTACGGCATTTCTCGTTTGAAATGTTTTCATATCTACATTGAGATCTTGAGGATGGATAAAGTTACATGCCAAACTTACGTTTACCTTTAACATTGATCGTTTTAGCGCCTCACCAATTTTGCACGCAAAGCTGTCGTACGATTTTTTTAGAAAAACTAAGGGGTCTTTATAGGTAAAGTTTACAATGACGCCGGTAATCAAACGGCCTTTAAAACAAGAATCTAAGGTGTACCACGCCAAAGTACGGAGCGGATGATTTTTTCTATCGACGGTGTCATCTATTCCACAACCCTCCCTTTTTACCGAGATATTTTTCAATTGTTGTTTTAATTGTGCTCGAAAATATTTAAGTTGGGTTAAATTCGCTTCCAGTCTTATCGGGCTTTCATTTATCTCATTATGAAGGTTATTGGTAATTGCTTTCTCTAACAAACGTATGTTGGAATCGATTATTGAAATATGTCTAACAATATCGGTCTTATTTTTTAATAATTTAATTGAATTACGCGTTAGATTAACTATGTTATTGCTTAAACTCGTAACAGATTCCATTGTACCTACCTACGATTAAAACTATTTTCCCAGAGTTCTTCTTCCTCGAAACGTAACAAAAATAGCTCGCCTGCAAAGTTGCGCGAAATCCGAGAGGCCTTCACACTTACACACACACACACACACCCGCCTCGTAATATTTATGGCAACATGAGAATAAACCCAAATTGTGGCGATTTCGTTTAAACATACATAAGAGGTAGCGCCATCTCGTGCGGATCATGAAAAACCGAGGGTATCCAAGATACCTTCCATAGGAAGGAAACTGTACTGTGTTAAGTATTATGGCATCATTTGCCACAATTATTATGAAACAAGATTTTAGTGTGTGGGCTGCCAGTAATATGCCATTTTGTGCAGTGTGTTAAAGAAAGATGTCATAAACATTGCATTTCCAAATTTGTGTGAAAATGCAGTGTTGCCAAGTTTTCACTCTCTGTTTTTCTTATAGATAACGATTGCTGAAGAGGATATTTCCTCTGAATATGTACATTAGTATAAAGGGGGAGGGTTACATAAGTTCTTCGAAACGAAAACTCCCATGAAAGCAATATTATTCAACTGGTGTGGGAGTTCGATGTGTTGCCTAACCTCATTCACGCTACGCTATGAAACCGATAGAAACGCCTAAGATAATGTCATATTGCAAAATAGACAAAATTGATGACAAAATCATGGTTGCCGTACAAGTTAGGTAGGTAGTCAATTTTAGGTACCTAAATAGTGGTAGGTAGTTGCGCTAGTCTAGAATCTAGAGCAGTGGTGGACTAAAGTGCAAATGGCACCTGGACCAAAACATTGAATAAAAATTTATTCAATGACCAAAAGTTAACAGCCATCAAAGACATAAGCTGAATCAAGCAACGCTTTACAAATGTCCTGAAGCAGTTTATGTATTAAAAGTATCTCTAGTAGATTTCTTACAAACAAAATTCATCCTTGGGATATCCACTCCCCAGATTATCTCTCTGTTCTTACCAAATTAATTTACCTTTACCGCGAGATCCACATACCGTTTAGAAAAAATTAACCCAGGTACAAAACACAATTTTGCTTAGAAATCTTTATTCAATTGGCTATACACAAATACAGAAGGAATTTTATAAATCCCAATGAACAACAGAAAAATTAAAAATGTTTCAGAAAACTACAATAATCTTAATTAGTACAGCAATGGTACTTTCAGCATTGAATTGATAACTATCTATAAATTCAATGCTTTCAGTAAAGCTACCTAGTACCTGTACATTTTTTAGTAATAAGAAATAGGTAGATTAAACGTGTAAAATGTCACACTATAGTACAACAAAGGCAGTTTTTAACTTTCTATGAGTAAAGGCACTCATCTTTTCTCTTGTCTAGATGGTTTTTAATGCAGAATTTTACGTCGGTCCATGATCTTGTGGGCAAAACATCATGTTCTTCTAAGCACTTTTCACATTGAGCTTCTCCGGGTACTAGATCTTTTTTTAATTTCTTGGTTGAAAAAACCTAAGACAGCTGATTTTTCTTCTGAAGACCATATGGCGCGCTACTAGAGATTTATGCTGGAGTTTACCTGTAACATTAACATGATGTTAGATAAAATTTAACATTTGTATCTCACCAGAATCAAATAATGAAATAGTAAAATGATGAAAATAAACCTCTCGTCAGGAAAGATTGCCGGTCACAAAACACTTGAGCTGGGTCTACAATCGAGGTTTTTCTAAAAATGTAAGCGACTTCCGGGATAGTATCGTGTCAATGTTGAACAAAAAGACTTTTCGTTCAACATTGGCACGATCCTATTCCGGAAGTTGCTCGCATCTTAAGAAAAACATAGACAAGGTGTGCTGTGACGGGCAATCTTTCCTGGCGATAGTTATATATAATTTTACCTTTTGTATTTGGTTTTATCAAATCTATCTCCTCCATAATTTCCCCTGTAGTCTGTATTGGTGCGATTCGGTTTTCTTCAGGATTTAGGGCATCTGTAAGACACATATGATATAAATATACTATCGCGCAATCACATACATCCACGAAAAGGATGCAAATCATATACACAGTGACCAAGGTAAGGATGAACAGCATGGGAAAATTGGAAACCATAAGAGATACACAGTCGGTTAATTAGAAAAAGTCGAGTATTTTAGGGCTTAGTAAGATGTTTTTAAAATTCAGATATCTGATCAGTTCCAAAGGTATTCGACAGAAACCGAAATTAGCCGTATTCGTTTTTATTTTTGTCTGGTCCTGTTTAAAAAGATATCAAAAAACAAATAACCTTCCTCATAGGCATATCATGAACTTGATATTTTTATGTGAACCTGAAAGTACATACTGTTCGAGTAGCATTTTTTATGGAGAATACAATGAAGTATGGGACAATTATCATTCAGAAGAACCATCAATGAATTATTTTGACATTTTGTCAACCCCTACTACACCAAAATGTTAACACATAATATTAATAACAATATTTTTAACAAGCATTTTTTCTGACATAAATAATAAACAACTTTTATTATGTTGGTGTAGTAGGTCATTGACAACATGTCAAAATAATTCATTTATGGGTCCTTTAAATGACATATTGTCCCATACTTATTGTATTCGCCATACAAAATGCTACTCGATACAGTATGTACTTTTTCTAGGTTCACAGAAAAATATAAAATTGAGGATGTGCCTATGAGGAAGGTTATTTGTTTTTATAATGGAGATGTGCAGATAAAGCTCATTTTTTTAGACCGAAATAGGGTTCTAAGGGGAGAAGGCGGTATGGCTCTTTATACACAAACATTTAAAGACCGCCTGGCATACATTCAAAATCCTCCGACACTCTATTCTGCAGATTTTTCCTTTGAGAGTACTTTCCTCCGACAAACAGTTTTCGAGACATTCGCTCTTAAAGTTTAGACATCACCAATGGATATATTTCTTGCAGACGTTCCAATCGCCCTTTGTGAGAACCCTCTTCCGACAATCCGTTCTGAAGATATAAGGGAATATATCCGATTACGATAAGAGGTCGAGGAGGAGGTCTATGGTTGGTAGAAATTAATTCCTTTCGTTGATACCTTTCATTAAAGTACCATGAAGGATAAAACCAGTTCCACTCCCCCCCCCCTTCCCCACCACTGTCTTTTGATAAGAGGACAGAGAGCAGGGCAGTAGTTGGTAGAAAGCGGTTCCTTTCGTTGAGACCTTTAAACCATGAAAGACAAAATTAATTAATTAATTTCTAACTTCCCCCCCCCCACAACCGCCGGCCCCATCCCCCACTGATAACGAAAAAGAGTCGCGCGGGGAAGTTATAAGTATGTACAAAGCAATCTATTTGAATGATACCTTTAAGTTATGCACGTTTTACTATCAAAAACAGCATCTCAGGAAATAATTCATGCCCCCCCCCCCCCTTTAGACAGCGAAATTTTATAGTAAAAAATTCCAGGACCAGGGAAATTTTAGGACACAAATGAATTCGGAAATATTTACCTTGACAACGTTCGATGTCTTGAAGATCATATTCATCCTGGATGCTGTCTTACGGATGGACGGGATTTTTGAGCATCGACAAAATTCTAACTGATCTTCTCGGCATTGTTCCAAAAAAATACTGCAAAAATTATAATTAAAATTTGCATTGGAATTGGTGATAATTATAACATTATGGGGAAGCTAAATTTAAAAAACGAATCATTACAATGGAATGGTCATAACCAAATTAAACTTTAAATCTGTCATTATAGAGGGTGTCCGGTGTTGAACAGGTTATGCATCCGTAGGGACATATTTATTTCTTTATATCGAAATATTTTCTCCCCTAATTAATTTAGACCAAAGTTGTAAAAAGGTTTCTTGTCGCTTGAACAATAAATTCTGCGTCTGCTCATGCCCTCATTTATTATTTTTAAAATCGGGAAACCGGAAAAAATATATAAATGAGAATTAGTATGTATTTGCCTAAAAAACTAATTTTTGTTTTCAATACTTTCAATGGACGAATGATTTATCACTAACATCACTCGTGCCGTGAAATCATTGAAACAAAAATTAAATTTCCAATTATCCTTTTAATTTATAACTTCCTTAATTTCTCCGATTTACCACAACAAATTACAAATGGGCACATCAATAGACGCAGAAATTTACAATCGACAAAAACGGTATTTACAACTTCAGTGTAAAATATTTAGGGAAAAAAATGTTTGGATATAAAGGAATTACCATCGATATGCCTATGGTGCGTAAACCAATTCTACCCCCTGTATACTTCCGCATAAACTTTTCATGGGGCTCCTGTATTGTATCGAAAGCACATCGTAATCGTAGTTCGTAGTAACTTTATGTCTTCACCTACCTTACAGTCCTTTAGGTATTAATTAACACTTATCATCCAATGTCAATGACATTACGTTACGTAAGTACGCCACAACACAACTCCCCGCCAAAGACCCGAATGAAGGAAAATTGTAAAATGAAGCTGAGAACGTTCGTCTTATCATCTGTGATGCGATGCACTTTCTGCCAAGGCCAACGGAAATTCCAATCTGAAAGCCTACACTTACAATTTTATTTCCTACACTTATAATTTTATTTACAATGAAACGAAGATGTGTATACAGTATACTGTATACTTGCAAAACTGTACAATTTGGCACAAAAAAAACTCATTTATTTATTCACCACTTTACTTCATTGCAAATTGAAAATCATACCTACCACGGGGCACGGACGATGGGTTCTTATTTCTAAATTTCTTATATGATTGACTATTGGATTAGCAATGCTATAGTTACTCAATGCTTATTACTTATATTTAATTAACAAGACGATAAAGAGATTAACCTTTTACCAAAGATCATATGATCTTTGCTTTTACCATTATGTCCCATTATCATCTTGTGAAAAACGGGCGGATCGCGTTCTATTACGTACCGAACTAGCTAGAGCTTGAAATATTAAATATGTATTTACAAAATAAATTTGACTGACGGCAAAATGGCAAAATTGTTTTTTGAATTATTAAAAAAACTAAAGTTGTCCAACTTACGTAAAAAATCATTTTAAAATGACAGAATTCCTATTAGGCAAATTTTTCTTCGACAAAGTGTCACCAAACTCGAGGTAAAATATCTTGATCTCCCAGGCGATATAGCGGGAACTCAAAATGACAAAAACGAAATTTTGGTGATTCAAAGCAGACGTGCCCTTTTAGGTTGTACAAGTTTGTATAATAAGATTTCGGTGTATTGCAGTTTTCTCGAACGATGGGTGCCGTTTTTTGAATTATCCAAAAAACTAAAGTTGTCCAACTTACTTAAAAAATCATTTTAAAATGACAGAATTCCTATTATGCAGATTTTTCTACGACAAAGCGTCCCCAAACTCGTAGGTAAAATATCTTGGGTTCCCAGGCGATATAGCGGGAACCCAAAATGACAAAAACGAAATTTGGGGGATTCAAAACAGACGCGCCCTTTTAGGTTGTACAAGTTGGTATAATAAGATTTCGGTGTATTGTAGTTTTCTCGAACGATGGGTGTCGTTTTTTGAATTATCCAAAAAACTAAAGTTGTCCAACTTACTTAAAAAATCATTTTAAAATGACAGAATTCCTATTATGCAGATTTTTCTACGACACAGTGTTACCAAACTCGTAGGTAAAATATTTTAGGTTCCCAGGCGATATAGCGGGAATCCAAAATGACAAAAACGAAATTTGAGTGGGTTCAAAACAGACGCGCCTTTTTAGGTTGCACAAGTTTGTATAATAAGATTTCGGTGTACTGTAGTTTTCTCGGACGATGGGCGTCGTTTTTTGAATTATTAAAAAAACTAAAGTTGTCCAACTTACTTAAAAAATCATTTTAAAATAATAGAATTCCTATTAGGCAGATTTTTCTTCGACAAAGTGTCACCAAACTCGAGGTAAAATATCTTAATCTCCCAGGCGATATAGCGGGAACTCAAAATGACAAAAACGAAATTTTGGTGATTCAAAGCAGACGTGCCCTTTTAGGTTGTACAAGTTTGTATAATAAGATTTCGGTGTATTGTAGTTTTCTCGAACGATGGGTGCCGTTTTTTGAATTATCCAAAAAACTAAAGTTGTCCAACTTACTTAAAAAATCATTTTAAAATGACAGAATTCCTATTATGCAGATTTTTCTACGACAAAGTATCACCAAACTCGTAGGTAAAATATCTTGGGTTCCCAGGCGATATAGCGGGAACCCAAAATGACAAAAACGAAATTTGGAGGATTCAAAACAGACGCGTCCTTTTAGGTTGTACAAGTTTGTATAATAAGATTTCGGTGTATTGTAGTTTTCTCGAACGATGGGTGTCGTTTTTTGAATTATCCAAAAAACTAAAGTTGTCCAACTTACTTAAAAAATCATTTTAAAATGACAGAATTCCTATTAGGCAAATTTTTCTTCGACACAGTGTTACCAAACTCGTAGGTAAAATATTTTAGGTTCCCAGGCGATATAGCGGGAACCCAAAATGACAAAAACGAAATTTGAGTGGGTTCAAAACAGACGCGCCTTTTTAGGTTGCACAAGTTTGTATAATAAGATTTCGGTGTACTGTAGTTTTCTCGGACGATGGGCGTCGTTTTTGAATTATTAAAAAAACTAAAGTTGTCCAACTTACTTAAAAAATCATTTTAAAATAATAGAATTCCTATTAGGCAGATTTTTCTTCGACAAAGTGTCACCAAACTCGAGGTAAAATATTTTGATCTCCCAGGCGATATAGCGGGAACTCAAAATGACAAAAACGAAATTTTGGTGATTCAAAGCAGACGTGCCCTTTTAGGTTGTACAAGTTTGTATAATAAGGTTTCGGTGTATTGTAGTTTTCTCGAAAGATGGGTGCCGTTTTTTGAATTATCCAAAAAACTAAAGTTGTCCAACTTACTTAAAAAATCATTTTAAAATGACAGAATTCCTATTATGCAGATTTTTCTACGACAAAGTATCACCAAACTCGTAGGTAAAATATCTTGGGTTCCCAGGCGATATAGCGGGAACCCAAAATGACAAAAACGAAATTTGGGGGATTCAAAACAGACGCGCCCTTTTAGGTTGTACAAGTTTGTATAATAAGATTTCGGTGTATTGTAGTTTTCTCGAACGATGGGTGTCGTTTTTTGAATTATCCAAAAAACTAAAGTTGTCCAACTTCCTTAAAAAATCATTTTAAAACGACAGAAGGAGAAATCATTAATAATATTTTTGGCTCAAACGTTTTGTGCTGTAAAAGATGATGTTTTCTTGAATTTGAAGATGATTGCCACATGACCATACCCTTTAGATTCAAAATGTTTTACAATCATAAGTTTGCACGGTACAATGGCCTAATAAGAGGTATCAGGCCATGCATTAGATGAATGTTGAAGGAAGATCCTATGAAATAATGCGCGCCGGTAGGTATGCGTTCCCAATTTATGGAGAAATGGGAATTTTATAGACAGATACACACGAGGACGAATGGTCTTCATTCCATTTCAATAAATCATTTGCGATAACTTTGTGAGGTACTTGCGATAGCGCCGGTTTGATGTACCGCCGGCTAGTCGTCGCCGGTTTGGTCATTGCCGGTTAGTAGTGTACCGGTCTACACTTCTATAGCCTTAAGTTTGGTAATTTTATGTTTGTTTATAAACAATAAAAATTGGCTAAGTTATCAGTTCTATCAAAGTTTATGGGACACAGATGGTATAAGTATAGGTAAATGTAAATGCGTAGTGGTTTCAAACTAAAAAAATTCGTTAAGGCCCTTGGTAAGCAAGAGGCGAAGAGACCACTTTCAAATTTAATTTTGCGATTTTAATAGCCCTTATCGACAGTTCATGACTTAACGAGAATACAAACATGAAATAATTTTTAATTTCTGATCGAATGACACCACTACCAAGTCTGTAAGTGGTGTAGTTCCGGAGCCTTTGTGATTCAGACAGACAGACAGACATCAAGAGCGAAAAAGTGCGCTTTTTATTTATTGTAAGTGCACTAAACATGTCACTTTATACTTAATTAGATTAGAACCTACGAGCTTATTTTTTACTCGTATATTAGAATTAGAATACTTAAAAATTTGTATGTATATAAAAAGAAAATAAACTCGCATTAAAATTTGCACCGCAGACGTAGCAAACGCAGGCAGTGGTAATCAGCTGTTCGTGTATTAATATCGCCGGTCAAGGTCAATAATACAAGGCAAATCACACCGCTGCATTCTACGATTCTACCCACATTTTAATAACTCGTCCTACAAACAAATTACAAAAAAGTGATATGATATGACCTGTTGTTTCTTTTTGCAATTTGATAGTAGTATCGACTGTGAAAACTTGGACTTGCGGCGAAAATATTGACAGTATCATGTTTTTGAAAATGAAAATTGGAAGATTGTTATTAGCCACCGTTTTCGCAAATACCTAGGTTAAGGTACCTACATAAAGATTTCGACGGTAGGTATTCTAACGAGAGGTCTTGAGGTAGACTGTAGGTCAGCAAAATGCGCCCGGAAATATTATACCTATTTATTCGTTATGGATGATTCACGTGCGCCAAGAATGATTTCTGTTATTTTTATTGCTAGAAGTTACAAAAAGAAATTTTCTTTCGAAAATGAAGGTCAAAACTTTTTCAACAGCAAACCCATTATAGTGAGCAAGAGGCAAAAAGTGCACTTTCAAATTTGTTTTTTTCGATTTTAATAGCCCTTATGGATATTTCATGCCTTTGCGAGAATACATACATGAAATAATTTTTAATTTCTGATCGAATGACACCAATACTAAGTCTGTAAGTAGATGGTTCCTGAGCAATTGTGACTTTAGACAGAGAGACAGACAGACATCAAGAGTGCAAAAGTGTACTAGTTAGACTTAGATCGTTGAATGAAAAAGATGATGATTATTCAGCCGCAGAGCAAAGCGATCTTTGTAGGGGAATCGATGGTGTCCGTCTGTCCGTGAACACGATAACTGTCAAACGCTTGCACAAAAAGTATATTATAGTTTTCTGTGCATAAGTATATACTTTTTTTGCAAAAACCTTGAATATGTTTGTGGTTTGTGCAGGAAGATCCGTAGCCCCCCCCTCCCCCCAATTAAACCTTTTTATACCAAACTTACACCATTTTGTGTACTAATTGGCGAAGACCATTGTACTCAGTGAACACAAGGAGACTGATTCAGAAGTGAAAATGTTGTCATATAGCAATGGAGGAAAGATTTGAGAACTTGAGACAATTTGAGGAACTTAAGATATATAAGGCTCTTGCCTTGTTTAAGTATGAAGAAGTTCAATTTAGGGAGATCTTAATCTGTAAATTGAAATTCAAAATAACAATACATAGTAAAAACAGGCTAATCACGTTAACACGATATTCAAAACAAACAACTTCATTACACCAAATAGTTCTTGAGATATTCGAATTCAAATTTTCGCGCATGCATCTCGCAAAAAACTTTAATTT